GTAAAACTTACAAGTCTCAGTGACAAAGAGAAAATCCTGAAAGTAGCTCAGGACAAGAGGTCTGTAACATAAAATGGTAGAAATATTAGACTGGCAGCAGACCTAGCCACAGAGACCTGGCAGGCCAGCAAGGACTGGCATGATATATTTAGAGCACTAAACTAGAAAAATATGCAGCCAAGAATACTATATCCAGGTAGGCTGTCATTGAAAATAGGAGATAAAAAACTTCCAGGACAAACAAAAACGAAAAGAATTTGCAAACACCAAACCAGCCCTATAGGAAATATTGAAAGGGGTCCTCTAAGCAAAGAGAGAGCCTAAAAGTAACAGACCAGAAAGGAACAGAGACAATATACAGTAACAGTCACCTTACAGGCAATACAGTGGCACTCAATTTGTATCTCTCAGTAGTTACCCTGAATGTAAATGGGCTAAATGCCCCAATCAAAAGACAAAGGGTATCAGAATGGATAAAAAACCAAGACCCATCAATATGCTGTCTTCAAGAAACTCATTTTAGACCCAAAGACACCTCCAGATTTAAAGTGAGTGTGTGGAAAACAATTTACCATGCTAATGGACATCAAAAGAAAGCCAGGGTGGCAATCCTTATATCAGAGAAATTAGATTTTAAACCAAAGACTATAATAAAAGATGAGGAAGGACACTATATCATACATAAAGGGGCTTTCCAACAAGAAGATCTAACAATTTTAAATATCTATGCCCCTAACATGGGAGCAGCTAATTATATAAACCAATTCATAACAAAATCAAAGAAACACATCAACAATAATACAATAATAGTAGGGGACTTTAACACCCCTTACTGAAATGGACAGATCATCTAAGCAAAAGATCAAAAAGGAAATAAAGGCTTTGAATAACACACTGGACCAGATGGACATCACAGATATATTCAGAACATTCCATCCCAAAGCAACAGGAACACATTCTTCTCTAGTGCACATGGAACATTCTCTAGAATAGATCACATCCTGGGTCACAAATTAGGTCTCAACCAGTACCAAAAGATTGGCACCATTCCCTGAATATTTTCAGACCACAATGCTTTGAAACTAGAACTCAACCACAAGAGGAAAGTTGGAAAGAACTCAAATACATGGAGGCTAAAGAGCATCCTACTAAAGAATGAATGGGTCAAACAGGAAATTAAAGAAGAATGAAAAAAAATCATGGAAACAAGTGAAAATGAAAACACAACTGTTCAAAATCTTTGGGACACAGCAAAGGTGGCCCTGAGAGGAAAGTATATAGCAATACAAGTCTTTCTCAAGAAACAAGAAAGGTCTCAAGTACACAACCTAACTGTACATCTAAAGTTGCTGGAGAAAGAACAGCAAAGAAAGCCTAAACCCAGCAGGAGAAGGGAAATCATAAAGATCAGAGCAGAAATCAATGAAATAGAAACCAAAAGAACAGTAGAACAAATCAACGAAACTAGGAGCTGGTTCTTTGAAAGAATTAATAAGATTGATAAATCCCTGGCCAGACTTATCAAAAGGAAAAGAGAAAGGACCCTAATTAACAAAATCATGAATGAAAGAGGAGAGATACAACCAACACCAAAGAAATACAAACAATTACAAGAACTTATTACGAGCAACTATACGCCAGCAAATTTGACAATCTGGAAGAAGTGGATGCATTCCTAGAGATGTATAAACTACCAAAACTGAACCAGGAAGAAATAGAAAACCTGAACAGACCCATCACTAGTAAGGAGATTGAAACAGTCATCAGTCTGGGGCCAGACCATCTGGGGCCAGATGGCTTCCCAGGGGTATTCTACCAAACATTTAAAGAAGAATTAATACCTATTCTCCTGAAACTTTTCCAAAAAATAGAAATAGAAGGAAAACTTCCAAACTGATTTTATGAGGCGAGAATTATCTTGATCCTCAAACCAGACAAAGACTCCATCAAAAAAGAGAATTGCAGACCAATATCCTTGATGAACATGGATGTAAAAATTCTCACCAAAATATTAGCCAATAGGATCCAACAGTACATTAAAAGGATTATTCACCATGACCAAGTGGGATTTATTCCTGGGCTGCAAGGTTGGTTCAAAATCCGCAAATCAATCAATGTGATACAGTACATTAATAAAAGAACCAGAACCTATGATACTCTCAGTAGATGCTGAAAAAGCATTTGACAAAGTACAGCATCCTTTCTTGATCAAAACTCTTCAAGTGTAGTGATAGAGGGTACATACCTCAATATCATCAAAGCCATCTGTGAAAAACCCACAGCGAATATCATTCTCAATGCGGAAAAACTGAGAGCTTTTCTGCTAAGGTCAGGAACATGGCAGGGCTGTCTACTAACACCACTGCTATTCAACATAGTGCTAGAAGTCCTAGCCTCAGCAGTCAGACAATAAAAAGAAATAAAAGGCATCTGAATAGGCAAAGAAGAAGTCAAACTCTCACTCTTTGCAAATGATACGATACTTTACATGGAAAATCCAAAAGACTCCACTCCATAATTGCTAGAACCCATATAGGAATTCAGTAAAGTGTCAGGATGTAAAATCAATGCACAGAAATCCATTGCATTTCTATATACCAACAGCAAGACAGAAGACAGAGAAATTAAGGAGTTGATCCCATTTACAATTGCACCTAGAACCATAAGATACCAAGTAATAAACCTAACCAAAGAGGCAAAGAATCTGCACTCAGAAAACTATAAACTACTCATGAAAGAAATTGAGGAAGACACAAAGAAATGGAAAAACATTCCATGCTTATGGATTGGAAGAACAAATGTGGTGAAAATGTATATACTACCTAGAGTGATCTACACATTTAATGCAATCCCTGTCAAAATACCATCAATTTTTTTTCAAGGAAATAGAACAAATAATCCTAAAATTTATATGGAGCTAGAAAAGACCCTGAGGGGCGCCTGGGTGGCTCAGTGGGTTAAGCCTCTGCCTTTGGCTCAGGTCATGATCTGAGGGTCCTGGGATCGAGCCCCACATTGGGTTCTCTGTTCAGCAGGGAGCCTGCTTCCCCCTCTCTCTCTGCCTGCTGCTCTGCCTACTTGTGATTTCTCTCTCTGCGTCAAATAAATAAGTAAAATCTTAAAAAAAGAAAGAAAGAAAGAAAAGACCCTGAATAGCCAGAGGAATGTTGACAAAGAAAACCAAAGTTGGCAGCATCACAATTCCAGACTTCAAGTTCTATTACAAAACTGTCATCATCAAGACAGTATGGTACTGCCACAAAAAACAGACATATAGATCAATGGAACAGAATAGAGAGCCAAGAAATGGACCCTCAACTCTATGGTTAACTAATCTTCGACAAAGCAGGAAAGAATGTCCAATGGAAAAAAGACAGTCTCTTCAACAAATGGTGTTGGGAAAATTGGAGAGCCACATGTAGAAGAATGAAATTGGACCATTTCCTTACACCATACAGAAAAATAGACACAAAATGGATGAAAGACCTCAATGTAAGACAGGAATCCATCAAAATCCTTGAGGAGAACACAGGCAGCAACCTCTTTGACCTCAGCCACAGCAACTTCTTTCTAGGTACAACACCAAAGGCAAGGGAAGCAAGGGCAAAAATGAACTATTGGGACTTCTTCAAGATCAAAAGCTTTTGCACAGTAAAGGAAACAGTCAACAAAACCAAAAGACAACCAACAGAATGGGAGAAGGTATTTGCCAATGTCTTAATCAGATAAAGGGCTAGTATCCAAAATCTATAAAGAACTATAAGGATCTATAAAGAACAAACTCAACATCCAAAGAACAAATAATCCAATCAAGAAATGAGAAGACATGAACAGACATTTCTGCAAAGAAGACATCCAAATGGCCAACAAACATATGAAAAAGTGCTCCACATTACTCAGCATCAGGGAAATACAAATCAAAACCACAATGAGATACCACCTCACACCAGTCAGAATGGCTAAAATTAACAAGTCAGGAAACAATAGCTGTTGGCAAGGATGTGGAGAAAGGGGAATCCTCCTACACTGTTGGTGGGAATGCAAGTTGGTGCAGTTACTCTGGAAAACAGTATGAAGGTTCTTCAAAAAGCTGAAAATAGAGCTACACTATGACCCAGCAATCGCTGGGTATTTACTCTGAAGATACAAATGTAGTGATCTGAAGAGGCACCTGCACCCCAATGTTTATAGCAGTAATGTCCACAAATAGCCAAACTATGGAAAGAACCCAGATGTCCATCAGCAGATGAGTGGATAAAGACGTTGTGATACACACACACACACACACACACACACACACACACACACGGGAATACTATGCAGCCATCAAACCCCCCAAATCTTCCAAATTGCAGTAATGTGGATGGAACTAGAGGGTATTGTGCTAAGTGAAATCAGTTAATCAGAGAAAGACAATTATTATATGACCTCTCTGATATGAGGAGTTTGGGAGGCAGGGTGGGGGCCATGGGGGATAGGGAGGGAAAAAAAAGAAAGAAGATGGGACTGGGGAGGGAGACAAACCATGAGACTCTTAATCTCAGGAAAGAAGTTGAGGTTTGGGGTGGGTGCGGGGGTAGGGATAGAGTGGCTGGGTTATGGACCTTGGGGAGGGTATGCACTATGATGAGTGGTGTGAATTGTTAAGACTGATGATTCACAGACCTGAAGGAGATATTATATGTTAATTTAAAAAAATTAAAAGTTAAAAATTTAAAAATTTTTAAAAAACAATGAAAAAAACCCAAAACTCTTTAGGATGACCCAGTAATTAAAAATAATTGATACTGGGGCACCTGGGTGGCTCAGTTGGTTAAGCAACTGCCTTTGTCTCAGGTCATGATCCTGGAGTCATGTGATCGAGTCCCACATCAGGCTCCCTACCCAGTGGGGAGTCTGCTTCTCCCTCTGCCGCTGTACCCTCTCATGCTCTCTTTCATTTTCTCTCTTTCAAATAAATAAAATCTTTTTAAAAAAATAAGTGATACTTTTGGGTTAAGTTTATTTTCAAATATTTATTCCAGAACATAAAACAAAACATTTCTATTTCCCTGTTTCTCTCTTACAGCTTTTGAGAAGACTAAAACAATTATTCATGTATTTGCATTAATAGTAAGCAACCCATCTATCTTATGGGTTGTACGTTGCATTTCAGTACAGTGTTGTCTGCTAATAATATAGCAAATTATTTTTATTATACAATCTGGGAAGGATTAAAATAAATAATATAGAAATAATTTAACAAATCTTTGTGGAATACCTACTATATTCCAGGTTTGGGGAATATAACAATAAATAAATGGTCCCTGCCTTCAAGAAGCTCACAGTCTAAAGGGGGAGACAGACAAATAAAACAGACAATTTAATGTAGTAGACAGCTTTAAGAGTGGTATGTACACAGAACTATGGGAACTCTATTTAAGGTCACTTAATCCAGAATGGTACAATCTAGGGATGGTTTCCAGGTAAAGAGGGTAAGTTTTACAAGAAAGTTTGCCAAGAAGAGAGTTGGGTGTGTGGGAGGTGGGAGGAATTTCTCTAGAAGGGATTGTTAATTAGTCTTAAAGACGGCACTGCCTGGTCTTCAAGGCCCCTTCTAGTTGATCCTCACCTGCTTGATCCAACAAGGGGCATTTGTATAGAGTGAGGCATCCTTCTGATACTGTGTGTCTTTTTAAAATATAGCTTCCCTGGATTCTTCTTTTTTGTGCTATGGAGCACAATTAAAAAGAAAATGCTATACTAACCAAAATGTTTTGTAGATACTTTTTTTTTTTTTTTTTTTAAACCATGGTGCTAACCACAGATTCAGAATGAACAATCTGGTATAGTAAGTACCATACAATCTACTTTTAAGAAAAAGAGAACAAAAGTTAAACTGAAGGTTCCTGGAGAGGTATAAACTCCAACAAGTCAGGTATATGGGGTTCTCTAAAATAATACATATATTTTTTCTTTGAAATGTGAGGAAAACAAAAAGGACCTGAAGTCCTTTTTCTTGGTTATCTACCAGCAGTACACTAGATGGTGCTAAAAGGTTGTTAGAAAGAAAGCTTTTGCCAAGAAAAACTGGCAGTTCAAGTGTTCTGGAAACTTTCCGTATGTCCCTGAGAGCAGTTCTAGGTCAGTAGGCAAGTGATGGGAATCTTACTCTCACAAGCTTTAGCCTTCAGGTTAATTTTAAACTAAACCTCAAGTTTAACACATTTTAAGATGGGCTCAGTGTTTGACAATTCAATCTGATTCCACTGAAATGGACATTTTAAAGTTATTGAAATATAAATTATACTTTACATTTAAACATATTGTGATTAATTTCATTTAGATAGTCTTCCTAGTGGTCTACTTCCTGTTATGAGCCTAATTAGGTCTACTACTGAATGAATCTCTAATCAGTTTCTTCAAATGGTTTCCTGAATTTTTGAATTACTATTCAGTAGAAAATACGAATCAAACTCTCATCATTAAAGTAGTGCAATATGCTGTTATAAATACATGAAGCAACACATTTTGAAATCACTCCATCAGTATAGTATTTCCTACATAGACATTTCATGATTTTTTCCACCTTACAATAAAACCAGAAAAATTTTTATGAAAGTGCAGAATAAAAACAAAGTTTGACTTTCATTATTTTCTACTTAGTTTTCTTCTAAATGTTAAACATTAAAATGGTAAACAACAACAACAAAATGAACCTAAGAGTCATTTTAGTTTCAAAGTCTCAAAGTTATAAGATCTTGATAATTTTTCAGCTTATCTTTCCAGTTCTGCTTCTAGAATTTCCCCCCACGTATCTACATCCATTGGGTACATCATTTTTTCTGGTAGGCTCAGAGGAGAACCTATGTTGCTGTATCTGCCACTTAGCCATTCGTGTTTCACTTTACTCTTCTGGTAATTCCTCAGTAGTATTACCTGAAAGAGATAAATCATCATTGTTAAAGAACGTAGTAGGTGGTTGGTGAGTAAGTTTGTTTAAAACCAGAAGAGTTGATTGACAGGGCTGAAAAGAATATAAGTATGTACACTGATAAACACATATACTAATAAATGTGTTGTGTGTGTATGCGTACATGTGGGCATATGCATACGGGTACACATGCAAGGAGAGCCACAGAGTTTGCTGTGAGTTTTGGATAAAGTAGAAGGAAGTAGCTAACAAAGGAATATGCCTAAATTTAGGATTAAAAAAAAAATGTAAAAGAATGGATGGGATGGTTTTTAAGAGAAGAGTAACTTCAAAAGCCAACACACTCTGTATGCCACTCTGTCTAGTAAATCCTACCTCCTCATGCAGAAGGTGGAGTTGGCCTACCACCACATTGTCAAAAACACTACAGACTACAAAGACTAAACTTATTCTCCAGGAGTATCCACTTTCTAGATCATCGTCTATTTCTCTTTGGCATACAGCTCCTAGAGTCAAGCAATGAGGTTTCCGCAAGGAGTCACTGTTTCTTACTATGTTATTCCAGCTCTTGCAGGTTAGTGAAGCCCTGCACAGACTCCCAATGTCTAGCTGACTGAAAATTTTAAAAGTAACTTCTGGAGGTAGCAGTTCAACAAAGTTATTTTGACTCTTTTTTTTTTCCTTCTCAGCATCCACAGAATTCAATTCTATGCCAGAAATTCTTGAATTATGGTTCCTCTTGGAGTTTTTCTGCATAGCTTGATGTCTTAGCAAATTATCCTCATGTGTAACCTAAAAGGCAAAGTTTAAACATGCTCAGTCTTTTCAGATCAGACTATAGAACCTACTCTGAGCCAGATACATTCTGGGTATGATTTAAAGAATCGTAACTTTCTTGACTTGAGTTTTTCAATCTGTAAAATGGGGCCAATGATGCATCTCTTCTGTGTGTTCTTACAAGGATTAACAGGGATTATGTGTAAAGCACTTAGCTTCACATCTGAATTGCACATGGGAGGAACTCAACACATGTTACTCCCCTTCTTCTTTTTAAATGTTTTTGTTAAATGGGTTTGTTTCTAAACATTTGTTTTTCTCCTCCCAAAGAACATTAGCTAATAAAGAGAAGTGATTCTTTACAGACTATAATTTGAATTTAGTAGTAGAAATGACTGTTGTAGGAACATATTTGATTCTAAGCATTTGCCCAAAATATTTCTGAAAATGTGTATGATTCAATTCTCTTAAACTCCTGAATAGTTGTCTGTGGGAACTGATGCCTTGTCATTAAGTTCTTTATCTACAATTTGTGACTAATCATAAACCTGATGTACTTTTGTAGCTTATATAATTACTTATCTACTTGTACCTAGTAGGTAGGTGCTCACAGTCAACATAAATACTATCTGAAATAGACAAGAGGTCGAAGTCCAGGTTACAATGATGACACAAGGACTCAAGTATTCAGTTCAGATTAGTGTTTTAGAAATGGCCTCTTGAAGCTATCCTACATGCATAATTATGAACTAAGAAGAGAAGTCATTGAAGCCATAAAGCAACAGTAACTAACAACTATAAACAATGTTTATGATTCAGCTAGGTACAGCATATAATTAAAGATTATATATATATATATATATATATATATATAAAGGATATATAAATACACATATATATGTATATTTTGGATATACATATCCAAAATCAGTTCAAAGCACGGAGCTATTTTTGCATATAAAGACAGCTCATATTACTTAACATCAGCTTATTCCATATTGCACTTCCTTTTATAATGGGGGGGGTGACAATGAAGGACGAGGGGTTTGTTAAATACTTCTTTTTAACTCAGCTAGTGATTATTCCCTTTTCTAGACATGTTACTCACCTATGTTTCTGGACTTGCCAAGGCCACAGTTGCTCCCATTCATTTGGTTGTTTATGATCCGAATTAGCTATGGTGGTTAGAATTTTAATGTCTCTGCTCAACAGAGGACTTCCTCTTGAAGTTTTGGGGAAGTGAGGAAGCAAACTGATAGAAACAAATTCATGAGTCAAGAACAAATTTTTGCCACGGAACTCATCTCTCTCCCCGTCAATACAAACCAAGCCAAACTACTATATTCTTGAAAAAAAAAAAAATCTCATATTAAGAGAACGTTACCGTGCATTTAGACATTTGTTACTTTTCCCAGAATCTCAATGGGGAATAAAATGCGTCCCCTCGTTATTGTTCTTCCTCATGAGGCAAATTAATTTTTTGAATTTAACAGCTGGGGATGCCTTGGTGAGGTTCCTAAACTCTCGCTAGGCATCTTCTTCTAAGCCCAGTTTTGATTGGATACCTGGAAAACTATCCCTCTTCTGCCGCTTCTTCTTCCTGAACCATACTATGCTGAATTACCTTTCTATTTGGGTAAGAGCTCGCCCCTTTTCAGGTGTCACAGGGAGCAAGAGATCGGGAGGCAGCGCAGATCAACCCCACGGGTCGGAAGGAATGACCCCACATCCCACTGAGCCACCCTCCTTGAGGGTCTCGCGTAGTGTGCAGCTGCCCGAGTCCCAAGAACACGGAGCAATGACAAATAAGCGACAATAACAACCGTCAGCACCGACTGTCACTGCAGTTCCAGAGGGCTGAGCGGAGGCTGACTGAGCAGAGGCTGAGCCGTCCAAACGCTGGCTGGAAGGGAAGACCCTCCTACCTCCAGTGCCACAGTCGCTCCTCCGGCGAATTAACTCCTTCGGAATTCGACTCCTTCGCCATAGTCCCTTCAGTCCCGCCCTCTGTTGGCCCCGCCTTGCTGACTCGGATTTCGCACAGGCGTAGAGAGAAGCGCGCGTTGCCTTTTGGGAGTGGTAGTTTTACCAGGACTCCTCAGCTCAACAAGAGAGGGGAAGGAGACGTCAAGGACTACAAGCCCCGACATACTTCACGGCGCGGTGAGAAAGGGTGGGGGTGGTTAGCCCGGGCTTTTAAAAAATAATTTTGAGGCGGAGTGTTGGAAGAATCCTGCCGCGCGTCACTGGACGGAGGGAGGGGGCGGGACTCCAGACGCGGAGCTGGGGCCCCAGCTGCGCGAGGCCTAGAGACGTTCGAGCCGAGCCTGTGCTCCCCCTCCCCCTGCGTTTTTCTAAGGGCCTTCCTAGGACCCGCGCGTGTCCATGGAAGGCGGAAACGGCTGCGGGGACTGTCTCCTTGCGAAGGGGTGTAGTACTCGCCGCCATGTCTGGGGGCTTCGAGCTGCAGCCGCGGGACGGCGGCCCCCGGGTGGCCCTGGCGTCCGGGGAGACGGTGATCGGCCGCGGGCCGCTGCTGGGAGTAAGTGTGGCAGGGGGGATCTGCCGGACCCGGAGAGCCTTGTTAGGTCCTCGCTGTTTCTCGAAGCCCTACTCCCCGTTTCTGGCTTCCCCGCTACTACGGCCCTGCATGTCTGGATTTTAGAAGTCTGCGAGCAGCACGTTTTTCAGTCAACTTTAACCAACTCACAAACGTTTCCTTATGTTGCCTTTAAAAAGCACTGACTTGTATTATCGTTATTACAGTCTTACCCAGAGGTCGGCAAGCTAATGTCCCCGAGTCCCAATATAGCCTGTTTTTTACCGGCCCACGTAGTGAGAACGGCTCTTAAGTTTTAAAATGTGAAATGTAAACAAACAAAAAGCCTGCTAGCCTTTCAGGGAGAATCATTGACCCACGGGTTGAGGATATTGTCTCTTGGCCTGACAAGGTACAGTATTTATAGTAGACTCTGGCCCTTTACAGAAAAAGTTTGCCAACCTCTGATCTTAGCTTTCCTACAGTAATTTCTTTTAAGCTTTTGGCCTCTTGTCGGACTGCATGAGCCTTACTTTTATTGTAATAGTCTTTTCCAATAATATCAGCAGCTAACCCTTATGTACTGTGTAATGTTCCTGGTGGTGATCTAAGGTCTTAACCTATACCAACTTTATAACCCATTCAAAATCCTGTGAGTTAGGTGCTCTTACTATCTTCATTGTTCAGGTGTGAAAATGGAGCCCTAGAGTGGTTATTTAAAGATTTAGGACACATAGTGCCACTGAGCTATATATTCTCCACCCTCCTTAGGATGTTTAAGAGTAAGAAAATTTTCCTGTTGCGTTCTGGAATTACATAGGTCTCTACATAAAACATGTATTATTGTCTTAACATTTAGCGTATCTTGTTTAGTGCCTACTTTGTGTAGCACATTTGCAGGTGGTAGCACTGTGGTGGAGATGTGGGTCTCTGCCTTCAAGGAGTTTTCTCAGGCTATGGAGACAAACCTGTGTCAGTGAGCTAGTATCAGAGTAAAGAGTGTGGATTATTACCCGGGTTCACTTTCAGTGTCTAAGTGGAACAGTTAGGCCTTAGGACCCTTCTCTGAGCAGGAAAAGGAGTGGTAATTGGGGGTTCTGATGAGGTCAGTTCTAAAGCGGTGTGTGTATATGTGTTTGTTGCATGTGTGTACATGAAGTAAGGTATTGAGAAAGTTGAAGTTTACTTGCCGTTTATCTGTTTTATTTGTTATTAACATATAATTATTATATGTTATTAACATATAATGTATTGTTTCCAGGGTACAGGTCTGTAATTCATCAGTCTTACACAATACACCGCACTCCCCACAACACATACTCTTGCCAGGGTCCATCACCCAGCCACCCCATCCAGCACCCCTCCACTTTAGCAACTCTCCGCTTGTTTCCTGAGATTAAGAGTCTTTTATGGTGCTGTTTATTTTTTAACTGGACAAGTAATTACTTAAATATTTCGATAACATTCTGTTACATTTCTCCATAGTTTAATTTACACAAACATTTGAGAGAACTGCCTGAGAGGTTTTTTTTTTCCTCCCACTCTTGTCTCTCTCTTTCTCTCTCTCTCTCTATATATAAATATATATATGAAATGTTACAGAGTATGTGCTTCATCTTGAAATCTTACGTCTGGTGACAGTTGAGTTTTGATTTGCTCAACAAATTGTATCACCAGTACAGAGTACTGTGGATCTGGTGAAAAGATTGATAAATTTTAGGTCTGTGTTTTATAAACGTAGCAACAGGTTACAGACCCTTTCATTGTTTGTAGCTTATCTTTGTATTATAGGCTTGCTGAGGTGAGATGAGCATAGTTGGTTTCTGTCTTAAAATAGTAAGAGTAGAAAGGAGTAGAAAGCTAGTCTATCTGGTCAGAATTTTACTTCTCCTTTTCAAATAATCATTCAGTGATGAGATTCTCTTGCCAAGTTTGGCAACTGTTAGAAGTGGTTATGAACAATGTCCTAAATGTGTTGGCAGGAAAAATTTGAAGAAGAAACAAATCAGGTTGTGGTTTTAAAGATTTTGGAACTGACATGTTTCTTCCTTTGCAGTAGTTAAAACTCAACATGGGGGGGCAACAGGGTGGCTCAGTTGGTTAAGTGTCTGCCTTCCGCTCAGGTCTGATCTCCAGGGTGTCCTGGGATTGAGCCCTGCCAGGCTCCCTGCTCAGTGGGGAGTCTGCTTCCTCCCCTCCCTCGCCTTCTGTGTCCCCCCATAAATAAATAAAATCTTAAAAAACAAACAGCGATGCAACATTAAGGCACTGTTTCAAACAGCAGAAATTCCAGTGAGGCTTTTTTTTGTAGTGTGAGAGAGCAAAGACTTAGTTAAAGTAGGAAAATTCAGGCAGCTCATTACAAGTTATTCATAATGATTAATTATTAATATGTGATGATTAATAATAATGATTTTGGAACTCACTTAACAAATCATGTTTTTTGGAGACAAGTTTCACAAGCCTTCATGGCCATACAAGCATAAAGGTTTATAATTCCAGTGTTTAAAATGGGCTTGGTGGTGAAACAATTTGATAAGAATGTCTTTACATTTTTACAGTGGCAAGAAGACAAAGATAACAGAGCACAGTGAAATTTAATTTTCTTGGGCCATTTGCTTTAGTGGGAGTCTACAGTGAACCCAGGGTCTTTGTTTACTAGGTTGTAATTCTGTTTTATGATCTATACCAATTAAAGGTTTTACGGCAGAATGAATCTCCATGGAATTATTCTGGGTGAAAACAGCCAGTCCCAAAGGTTACATATTGTATGAATTTATTTACATAATGCTATTGAAATGATGAATTATAAACATGGAGAACAGATTCCTGGTTGCCAGGAATTAAAAGAAGGGGGGAACCGGGGCACCTGGGTGGCTCAGTGGGTTAAAGCCTCTGCCTTCAGCTCGGGTCGTGATCCCGGGGTCTTGGGATCGAGCCCCACGTCCGGCTCTCTGATCGTCAGGGAGCCTGCTTTGATTCCTCTCTCTCTGCCTGCCTCTCTGCCTACTTGTGACCTCTGTCTGTCAAATAAGTAAATAAAATCTTTAAAAAAAAAATAAATAAAAGAAGGGGAGAAGAGAGTAGGAGGGAGTTGGTATGGCTATAACACAGCAACATGGGGGATTTTTGTGGTGATGGAAATGTTTTGTATCTTGACTGTATCAATATCATTATCTAGTTGGGATATCCCATTATAGTATTGCAAGATGTTACCACTGGGGAAAACTGGGGATATGGTACAAGAGATTTTTCTGTATTGTATCTTCTAATTATATGTGAACCTACAATTATCTTAAATAAAAAATATACTTTAAAAAAATGTTTTATAGTAGTACAGCATCTCAAGCAACAGAGGACCTTTAGGCCAGATTATTTCCTTCATGGTTTTTCTTTTCTTTTCTTTTTAAAGAAGATTTTATTTATTTATTTGACACACAGAGATCATAAGTAGTCATAGAGGCAGGCAGAGAGAGAGGAGGAAGCAGGCTATCCGCTGAGCAGAGAGCCTGATGCAGGGCTCGATCCCAGCACCCTGAGACCATGACCTGGGCCGAAGGCAGAGGCTTAACCCACTGAGCCACCCAGTTGCCCCTGCTTTATGATTTTTCTTAAATAAAACTGATTAGACTCTTTTTAAAAAGCTGGTTATGCACTTAAAACTACTATTTTTGATTTCAAATTTTCCTTTTTCTATTTTGATAGGGTTTATATGACACATTTCTTTCTGATCTTTTTCCTCCAAGGGAATAGGACAACATAGCTGTCTAGGTAGTCTTCCTAATGGCTGGTGTATGGAATTGACTGCTTTAACTGAAAAGAGAAGAGGCCCACAGTTGTAGGTGGAGATAGTCAGGCGCTCTAGTATAGACTCTTTCCTGGCATCAGTTCACCACCCCAAGAATGCTCTAAGTGTCCTACAAAGTTTACATAAAGTAACCAGTAAGTACTCTGGCCTGGCAACTCTGCATTATTTCTGCTTGTTGCAGAAGCTCACTAGCTGTTCTGGAATGCTGATCCTACCTGGTTCCCAGGGATGTGCTAAGCACCCCTAGCTGCTGGATATTCCTCCCCCCTCCCACCACCAACTGCCTTAGTTATTGAGCCCAGTACAGTGCCTGGCACATAGTAGGCCTTCCATGTCTCTCTTTTTCATTTTACCAACCCTCAAGAAGAGCTTATTTGTAACTCAGGTGCGAAAAGGATATAGAATTTTGAAGTGAATTTAAATATAGTAAAGAAGCAGTGCTACCAACTGCTAAAGCATATGAAGCACCATTCATGATGGATTAAATGTTAGCACTTTCCCTATTTTATTGAGTAATGACTTGGTAAATTCAGAAAATAGTTGAATATATTCCAGTCAGAATGGAGGGATGAAAGAGAAGTTGTTACTCTCAAGAAACTACAGTTTTATAGGTATGAGAGACAGAGAAACAGGTAACTAAACACTGGTTGCAAATGGGAATGGGGACCAGAGCCAGGCAGGC